TTCAAATTTATATATTAGATAAAAATATATTAATCTTATAATTTATTAATTAATTAAATTGAATATATTAATATAAACTGTAAATCAAATAATATAATATATAAAATCTAATAATTTCTTTTATCTTTTAACAATTTAAAATACCATTCACCTGAACTTAGCCATTTTTCTATCTGACAGTTCAAATTTTAATGAACTGTCATCACGTTTAATACGCCACATGCTCTTACAATAATAATATGATAAACAACAGTTTAATTTTGAATTAAATTTAATAAAATAAAAATGGGGAAGAAATCTAAAGTAGGACTCGGAAGATCTTTGATAAAAGATCGTTTCGGTCATAGTAAAGGACGAAAAACTGTTGATGATAATTCTATGGTTAGGTTCTTAATATTTATAATAAATGATATATTGTTGATATTTAAATGTTTAGTGATTACATTGTTGTAAATTAAGTGTTTGTGTTTTGGTAAATATTGTTTATAAAAAAAATCGCAATTTTAAATATAAACCTTAGTGTAATATTTTTTAAAAAATTTAAGGTTACATTTTTTTAATTTATCTTGAGTAAAAAAGTATTTATCTGAGTGTCAATATTCTTATAAATATGTTACAACTAAGTAAATAAGAACTTACATATCTTATATTTTGACTTGAATTATTTTCATTTATTGTAAATCTGTATCATTTCATAAAATTTGTGTGTAAATCATTTGATTTGTCTCTGGATGGGCCCCATTCTCTAATAACAATGAAATCTTGACATTTATTCTGTTAAATACTCTTCCAACGAAGTATCCTTCTAAATTAATAGTTTATATAATTGTTTTACACCAATTTCTTTGAGTAAAATCTCTAACCTAAAAATTGTTTATCACCAAAGAAATATTATATTTAAGAATAAGAAAAAAGTTATATATTTCCATTCCTTAGTTGCATACGACTGAAATCCAAGACGGTTATGATTGGGGCCGATTGAATCTTCAAAGTGTCACTGAAGAATCTTCATTCCAAGAATTTCTGAGCACTGCCGAATTAGCCGGAACAGAATTCCAAGCAGAAAAGTTGAATATAAAGTTTGTGAACCCAAAAGTACGTATTGGAAATGTCACATTTAATAAATAATTTAAATAACTAATAAAAAATTAATTTGTTTAGTCAAACGTTGGATTACTTGTGGGTTCTGATAGAACTAGGGCTCTTGAAGAGCAAGAGAAGAATAGACAATTTCTTAGAATTCCTAGAAGGTGAGAAATATATATATATATATATATATATATATATATATATATATATATATAATGTGATTTTATTACCCCAGGCCGAAATGGTCCTCAGAGACTTCTGCAGAAGAGCTCCAACAAAACGAAAGAGAAGAGTTCTTAAAGTGGCGTCGAGATCTAGCAGCCTTACAAGACAACGAAGGCCTAGTTTTGACCCCATATGAAAAAAATCTAGAGTTCTGGCGCCAATTATGGAGAGTGGTTGAACGCAGTGATGTAGTTGTACAAATAGTAGACGCCCGTAATCCTTTACTCTTTCGTTGTGAAGATTTAGAATTGTATGTTAAAGAAGTGAGCGATGATAAAATGAATTTGATACTTGTAAACAAGGCTGATTTTTTGACTAAAGAGCAAAGAGAAGCGTGGGCTAGGTATTTTGATGGAGAGGGCGTTCGAGTTGCTTTCTTTTCTGCTAAGCTGTCGAAGGAGAAAGATGGTGAGAAATCCGATGAGGAGTTGTCGGAGATTTCTGAAGAAGATGAGGATGGGGATGATGAATCTGATGATGGTGAGGGAAAGAAACATTTTATACAGTAGAATAATATAAATAAATGAAGGAATGAATGTATAAATTAATTAATCTATAAGAGAATGAATTAAAGAATAAATAAATGAATGGATGAATAAGTGAATGAATTAATAAATTATTAATTGGATGAACGAATGGATAAATGAATGAATAAATAAATCAGAAGGCTAGAATGTATGAAAGAAATAAATAAATGGCTAAATAGATGAATGAATGATAAATAAATAATGATATAAAAAAATAGGTAATGAATAATTTAAATGAATAAATGACTCAACAAATAAATAAACCAATGAATGAATAAATAAATAAATAATTTAATTGAGTAAATAAATATTGGCATAAATTAATAAATAATTTAATTAATGAATAAATAAATAATTGGAGGAGTAAATAAATAAATAATTGTAGGAGTAAATAAATAAATAATTTAATTAATGAATAAATAAATAAAGGCATAAATAAATGCATGATTGGAGGTGTAAATAAATAAATAAGTAGGTAGATAGATAAATAAATGATTGAATAAATGAAAAATTATTTAATTTAATGAATGAATTATAATTCATTCATAAATAAATAAATGCATAAATAAATAAATATATATATATATATACATATATATATATATATTCAATAGATAAGTCCTGGATTTTTTCAATATATTGATTGTTTCTTTTCCGAACAGTAAATCCAATAATAAAAAACAATTTGTTTTTTGAAGATGTTTAATACGACGTTTCGGAACTAGGTACGTTCCATCATCAGGTTTATTCTGTCAAATACAATGTTTTTTAAAAAAAATTATTGATTAACATTAATTAACGATGGTCAATATAGATTAATTAGAAAAAAAAAAAAAAAATTATAAAGGAATGGATTATGTACCGGGGTAAAGAGTAATAAAACTTAACTAAAAAAGGTTTTATATAAAATTGAGAAGCAAAAATTATTTACCTGTAATAATTTATATATCCATATCACTAATATTTTTTTGTTATAAACACTCGATTTTTTTGAAAGATATTTGTAGATGTTACGACTACACAAGACTTAAACACACTGATATGGATTTCTGTTTGCCAGATGTAAAGGACAAAGCACGGAATTCTTGGCAAAAATGATTTTTTATGGCTCTTGTTTTGGTAATATTTCCACTTTTTTCGTAAATTACCAAACAAGAGCCATAAAAAATCATTTTTGCCAAGAATTCCGTGCTTTGTCCTTTACATCTGGCAAACAGAAATCCATATCAGTGTGTTTAAGTCTTGTGTAGTCGTAACATCTACAAATATCTTTCAAAAAAATCGAGTGTTTATAACAAAAAAAATATTAGTGATATGGATATATAAATTATTACAGGTAAATAATTTTTGCTTCTCAATTTTATATAAAACCTTTTTTAGTTAAGTTTTATTACTCTTTACCCCGGTACATAATCCATTCCTTTATAATTTTTTTTTTTTTTTCTAATTAATCTATATTGACCATCGTTAATTAATGTTAATCAATAATTTTTTTTAAAAAACATTGTATTTGACAGAATAAACCTGATGATGGAACGTACCTAGTTCCGAAACGTCGTATTAAACATCTTCAAAAAACAAATTGTTTTTTATTATTGGATTTACTGTTCGGAAAAGAAACAATCAATATATATATATATATATATATATATATATATATATATATATATATATGATAAATGGATGAATAAATAAATGGCCTAAATAAATAAATTAACAAATAAGTAACAGAATGAATGAATAAATGAATAAATAATTGAATAAATAAAGCAAGGCTGAATGAATGAAAAAAATAATAAATTATTAATGAATAAATAATCAAATGAATGAAGAAATAATTATAGAAATAGATTATGAATGAATAAATAAAGAAATAATTGAATAAATAAAGCAAGACTGAAGAATTAAAAAAAAATTAATAAATAAATTAATTAATGAGCAAATGAATGAATAAATAAATAAATAAAGAAATATTTCTAAAATAAATTGTGTAATAAATAAATGAATGAATAAGATGAGAATGAATGAATAAATTACATCAATAAATGAGACAATAAATAAATAAATAAATAAATTATTTATAACTTTATGAAAGAATGAAAATAAATAACCAAAAAAGAAATGTAAATAAATAAATAAATGGATAAACAAATATAAATGTAAAAAAATAACAAATAAATGAAAAAATAAATATATAAATGCATAAACCAATACAGATATTTAGACAGAAATTTAAATAAATAAATAGAAATATAAAAAGTAGTAAAAATACAATATAAATAAATGAATAAATAAATGCAGATAGACAGAAATTTAAATAAATAAATGAATAGAAATAGAAATAAATAGTATAAATATAATATTAATAAATATAGACAGAAATTTAAAAAAATAAATAACAAAATACATAAATAAATAAATATAAATGTAAAAAATAAGTTCATAAATAAATATATAGAATAATAAATAAATGCATGAACAAATGTATAAATAAATTAATGAATGAATAAATAAATGCAAAAACAAATAGATAGATAAATAAATAATAAATACAAAAATTAATAAATAAATATATAAATACATAAATTAAAAATATTAACTGAAATTATAATTTTTTCAGACCCAAATGAACCAGAACCAACAGTCAGTTCTTTAGAATCCCAAGTCGAAAATTTACAAAAATCAGTAACATCTACAGAAGAAAATCTAAAGAAAATACTCACAGACATTCCTAAAATAACTACAGAATCATCTCAAGTCACCGAATCAACCACAAAAGAACCAGAAAGCATTGAAGAATCTAAAAACTCATTTCTCAATTCTTCTGAACTGTTGACAAGAGAAATGTTAATAGAATTTTTCAAAACAATTCACACCGGACCAAAATATACATCAGGAATAACAACTATAGGCTTAGTGGGTTATCCAAACGTTGGCAAAAGTAGTACTATTAATGCTTTGATGCTGTCCAAGAAAGTTTCAGTATCGGCTACACCGGGGAAGACTAAACATTTTCAAACTTTGTACCTTGATCAGGATATTATGCTGTGTGACTGCCCGGGGTAAGAGATATAGACATAAATATACATATATATATATATATATATATATATATATTTATGTATATATATAATTAAATATTTTATTTCCCTTCTAGTCTGGTTATGCCAAGTTTTGTTCTAACAAAAGCCGACATGGTGATAAATGGAATACTGCCAATAGATCAAATGAGGGACCACGTGCCTCCTATAAATTTAGTAGCAAGTTTAATTCCTAGACATATTATCGAAGATACGTATGGGATTATGATTGCAAAGCCTTTAGAAGGAGAGGATCCTGATAGGGCTCCTGTGGCTGAAGAAGTTTTAAATGCTTATGGATGTAAGATTAATTATAATTATATATATATATATATATATATATTCATATTTTTTTAGACAATAGGGGTTTTATGACTGCAAACGGACAGCCAGACTGTCCTCGTTCAGCAAGGTACATTCTAAAAGACTATGTCAATGGAAAACTGTTATATTGTTACGCACCTCCTAATATGAAACAAGATGAATATCATATATTTCCCGAAAGGAAAGCTAAGGTTAATTTGGATCGAGTTTTGCCGCCCAGGGAACAGAGAGCAATTAAGGTAAATTTAATTATATAAATATATATACTAGCTAACCCGGCAAACGTTGTTTTGCCATAAAAAATATGCCTAAATTGATAAAAAATTAATAAAAGTGTCAAAAATCAAATATTTAATAGATTTGGACTCTGATTCTTTGACAAATAGTTAAAAACATGTTATAATTTTCAAAATTATTTGACATTTCATACTTCAAAAACTAATTCACTCGCATCATAGTTTTTTGTTTATTATACTTTTGTCACGTCATATGTCAATAAAATTTTCTTTCAAATATTATTTATTTGTTAATAAATTAATAATTATTTTAAGTCATCAATGAATAATTATATAATTGTTAATTTCATAAGTTTGGCTAAATCAACACAGGAATATTGTGGAAATAAATATTTTTTTACATAAAGATCTGATTTTTGACATTTGCATTTTATTTCAAATTAATTATAACTGTCAAAATATTTTCTTTTCGGTCAAAATTTATTATAATATGATATAATATTTAGTTTGTCAGATTCCAATGATACCCTCAGATTGTACTATTTATTCCATTTAAGAGGTTACAATTTCCTGTAAGATTAGCATTTGCGATGACAATCAAAATATATCTTAACTGATATATTAATAATGATATTATATTTTAATTACACAAATTTCTTTACACTCCGATAAATAATTCCAACGCATCATAGTGTTTTGTTTATTTTAATTTTGTTTATGTCAATTTTTTTTTAAATTAAAGAATAAATTAAATTTTAGTCTAAATCAACGCAGTATCTTTATCTAAATATACAATTTTTTATATAAATATTTGATTTTTTACATTTGCATTTAATTGAAAAATAGTGAATGTCAATTTCATATATCCAATATGCACTAAATTTTTAAATGCCAATTTTTTTCCTTTTTGGTCAAAATTTAATATAATATGATATAATTTATATCTATAATTTGATTGGCAATATTGCCTATAACATAACTTGGAATAATTCATTTATTTGTTTCCTACTGCAGTCGTTAAACTTTTTTTTTTTGTGAAATGTCAAATTTTTGTTCATGATTAATATTAAATTCAATATGTCGCTTTTTTATTGTGATCTGTGATCTATAAGGTTTTGATAAAGTTTTGGTATCCGAAATAATTTGGTAAGCTAATTGAATAAATATAAATTGTAAATCTATTTATATAATTATTTTCATAAATATTGAGAAATGACATTTAATTTTTTTACATGTCAACATTTATTTAAATTTTTAAGCATTGATTTTTAATTGGATTTAAAACTATAAACAATGATTTTGAATATAGTATTTCATCAAATTTGGATTTAAATGTTGGATATTTCTATATATGTACATGTTTTTTAATTTAATTTTTTGAAATGTCAAATTTTTTTTTTTAAATTATATATCGAAATTTCCTTAAATTTTAACATTTGTCATTTTAGTGTTTTGTTTTTTTTTTGGTCATTTTCTGTCAAAATTTTTAGAAATTTATAAAAATTATATATTTATATTTCAAATTAACTTTTCAAAATTTCCTATAACCTAAGTTGGATATATATGCACACGATGACCCAATAAAATTTAAAATCGGTTCAGTAGTTTGGGCGTCCATCGCGAACCAACATCGTGTCACGAGATTTATATATATATATATATATATATATATATATATATATAAATGTATTCTTTATCTATTTCTTCAGATTGGTAAAATGACATCAGCCGATTTAGACAAGCAATTCTTTATCAAAAACACACAAGCAGCCCACATCAAAGGCAAACTGCCCGTAAATCCAAAACTAATCCAACAAAAGTACGTACAATAATAACAATAAATAATTTACAATATAAAAATGTATTCAATTACAATAAATATACATTAACGATGCCGTATCTAAATATATATTTGGTTGTCTAACTTATAATGATAATTGATAATTTATTATTACAGTGATGGAGGAAATTCTTCATCAATGGGATCTAAGGATAGTTTGATAACGATTGTGGAAAAACCGTGGAAGCTTCATAACAAACACGCTAATAAGAAAAAGAAGGAAAAGCTTAGAAGAGTTTACTCGCATCTTGATCAACATTGATAGAAACTATTTGTTATTCTTATATTGTTTGAAATATAAATAATTTATTATTATACATTATTTTAATTCTTTAAGTTCCTAAACAAGTTATACAGGCTCTTGTTAGTGTTCTATTAATTTTAAACAGATAAGACGTCCAGTAACAATTATAAAACTATTATATCGATTCATTATATCAAAACTATAATTAGAGTTAAACGATTGGTTCTTAATTTAATGAAAAATATTTACAATTCGTTAGATTAATGTTATAAGTATAAATATTTACATACTTGATGATGAATCTTATTCAGTAGAATTGTACGCAATGCAGGATCGGTCTTCCTGTTTTTGATTCGAATTCATGGATTAATTCATCTATATCATTGTCTAAGTCCTCACAATGGGCCATCTGAAAAAATAATATATTAGGGTGGTCCTTAATATGGACATTTTCGAATTTCTTTACTCCCAAGGGCTCAAATGCTTCCAAATTAATAAATAAAAACCCTCTAAAAGTTTTAGCTCTTAATATTAACATTTAGATAGTCCGCAATTCAATTAAAAGTTTCCTATATTTATTATTAAGTAAATTCTTGCGCCATCTGTGATAGCTTTTGTGAACTCAAATATTATGAAACTTAAAAATATTTATAAAACACTCAACCTCTAATTAAATCCATGTGGGCTGTTTAACGAAATATTTATTCATCATGGCATCTAAAATAATTTAGCAGCAAAATATTTATTTAATTGGTGATTTTAACACTCAAATTATCAGTAATAATTTGCCATCAAAATTACAAGTCTGCTATCACAGATGGCGCAAGAATTCTCTTAATGATATATGTTAAAAAAATATACGTAACTTTTAATTGAATTGGGGACTATCTGAATGTTAATATTAAGAGCTAAAACTTTTGGAGAATTTTTTTTTCATTAATTTGGAAGCATTTGAGCCCTTGGGAATAAATTAAATCGTCAAATTAAAAAAAAAAGATCACTACACGTGCTTTGTAACCTTGATCAGTGTCCATAATGCACCGCTATTAATAACATAAAATATAGGAGGGCAATATGTGCTCCTTCAATTTCTCGTTTGTTATTATAATAGTGTATTATATTATTTTACACAAATTTAGTGTTCAATCAATAAATCAATTTTACATCATAATTAATTTTTTCTGTTGTTTTTCCTGGTTTGGTATGTATAATTTCCTCCTTTTTTATATATTAACTTCCCGTAGGGTAAGTTATTGTAATGGGCCGAAAATCGGAATTGAAAATTTTTACATTTCTCGACGTTTTGAAGGTTTCTGAACGTTTTGCCATACCTCAGAAAAAATGGATGTGTGTGTGTGTGTGTATGTATGTATGGATACAAATTTTCGCCCACGTTTTCGGGCGTACGGATCAACCGATTTGAATGGTTCAAAAAACATTCGATTCCTATCGATAGGGAAAAGAGCTGATTAGTTTTTGGCAAAGGCAGGTCCAGCCGTTTCGGAGATACGGAGCAAAGAGTGCAGAAAATAGAAATCGTATTTTTGAGAGAACGGAGTATCCGATTTGAATGATCTAAAAAACATTCAATTAGTAATGATTGGGAGAAGTGTTCATTAGTTTTTGGCAAAGGCAGGCCTAGTCATTTTGAAGATACGAAGCTAAATATGTAAAATATGGCAGTTTTTGAGGGAATTAAACGTCCGATTTAAATGATTCAAAGAACTTTCTGCTTGTCTTAACAAAATAATTGATTTTGGAAAAAAAATTTTGTTAAATTTTTTTTTTTTTTTTTTTTTTACTTTTGTGTATATCGAAAATATTTCAGATTTAATTTTTAATTCTGACTGTAGTTCTAATATACTTTACAAATAATTTCAACTCTGCAATTCAGTTTATATAATACTTATAAATATTAGACAATGTTACAATATTTATAATAATCTATTTGAAAACATTCAGTATTCCACGAACATTTCGTTACGGTACGGGAAGTTCCAGCAATTTGCCTTAAGGCACGATGCCATAATTGCCTCAAGACAGAATTCCATTCACAGCTAGTTTATATTTATCATTAACTTTGTATTTATGTTATATGTTTTTTAGATTACTGAATGACACACATCAAGTATCAAAACGTTTAATGGAATAAATAATTTTGTTATTTAATCTTTTTTTAATTCGACGATGGGCTGCAAAAATATTACAAAAATGTACCAACGTCGACAAAACTATCATCATATATATATATATATATATATATATATAATTTCTATCTACCATATATCTTTTCTACTTACAATTGTGACCATATCGCTAATTAAAAACGCTCCTATAGTAGCCTCCTCGTGGTTATCTTGAATATCAATATTAATAACATGTACAGGTTTATTCAAGGCTCCTCCTCGAGACTCCATTGTTTCTAATACTATATCGTATACTCTTTCTTCACAAGTGATAATAACATCGAACAATAATTCTGAGACTTGGAATTGTTCTGGTCTTGGTTTAATCCTTCGGTTTCTGTCTAACATGTGCAGGAGACCGTTTTGGGTATAGCTGGGTAATTCATTGTCAAGGAAAAAATAGTAATAGACTGAAATTATGTGTAAAGATGTTTTTTTTAGATTTTATAGGTTTAGTTTTTTCAAATTGTATTGAACTTGATTACTCTGGAATATTTGATGGTCTGAAAATTCAGTTTTGAAAGAGAAAGTGATTTTTATTGAATTCTTAAACGTAACAATAATGTAACGGAACGAAACATTAACGTAATTCTTCATTTACGTTAGATGGAAATATTTATCAATAAGATGTATAAAGCTATAATTTTATATGTATTTATATAAAATTTTGATTGTTTTTTAGATTTTTCTAAATATATAAACATAAACCCCTTAAATATAATCCATTACTAATTTATACAAAAATGTTATATGAATATATTTCTTACAAGACTTATATTTATACGATGAATTTATAACAAAAACAAACTATTTTATTGAAGAATCTGATTTGCATAACAACCTGACACTAAATATAATGTTAAAAGTAGAGAAATTATATTTCTTTTAATAGTCTATGGATATATTGCAAAGAATACAATAAAAAAAAAAATTATGTATGTTAACATTATTTATATAATTTATTAATTTTTAATTTAATTTAATTAAATTTAATAATTTAATTTAATTTAATTATTTAATTATAATCAATAAAAAGGTTTGGAATAATAAAGTTGAATATTATATATGAATCTAATTAATTTTACAACAATATATAAATAAATGACCATAATTGTTTATAAAATGCTGAAATATGATTTTTCAGTATGTGTCGAGTGTCGTGTGTTAATTTTAATTTAAATGGTGTTCGAAGGTTTTGATTTAAACCTTAATCGTTGACTTTATATGAATATAATTTTAATTAATATTAAAAGTAACTTCATTACTTTGTTAATTTAATAGTAATGTATAAATAAATAAGCAAAATCGTTTATAAATACTAAAATGTGATTTGTGTCGAGTGTTGTGTGTTAATTTTGATTTAAATTGTGTTTGAACATTGTGTATATATAAAATTTAAATAGTTAAAATTGGTACAGTAAATTTTATTATAATGTATAAATAAATGAGGATAATTTTATAAAAGATAACTATTTAGTGTTAATTTTGATTTAAAGGTTAATCGATGACTGTATGTAAATATAACTTTAATTAATATTGAAGTCATAGATCTTTAATTAAATACCTTAATTACTTTGTTAATTTTATGATATTATATAAATTATAGCATAATTGGATTTTGAATACCATAACTTGACTATTTAAAATGTGCCGAGTGTTTTGTGCTAAATTTGATTTGAATTAAATTCAATAATGATATATATATCTAATTTAAACTATTAAAAAAAATACCTTGATTGCTTTGTTAAATTCGTGATAATATGTAAATAAATGAGCAAAATTATTACTGAAACTTGATTATTTAATATGTCTCGAGTGTTATTGTGATGATATGGCATTCGATGAGTGTATATAAATTTTATTTGGAATATTATATGAAAAAACTTTGATACTTTATTAATTTCATGATAATGAGTAAATAAATAAACGTAAATGTTTGTAAATCAATAAAAAACTGTAAAAACTTGACTTACTTTGTACAGTGTAACATAGTGTGATGAAAGTTACAAAAATATAGAGCTTAGGTCAAATACTGACTTAAATTCACTTTCAAATATATAAAATACTTTAAGTTACCTTTAAATAATGTAGTTTTATATAAGTATATATAAATTAAACGAGTATTTTCACTTTAACTTTCAAATTTTTGAGGTTATGTACGACCTTCACGAGCGTGCGGGTGTTTTAAAAGTGTCAACCGTTTGTGGTTCATATCTCAGCTAATTTGAAAATGAACAGAAAATTATTTTGTAATAATTTTTTATATTAAAATCAAAATTATAGTTGAAATTATTTTAAACCAGTTTAATAAGAGCATATATATAAAAGCACTATATATTTAAATATAGTTTAATTATAGGTGATAAAAAAGGATATATATACATAAGGTTGTAAAAATGGCTGAGAGGTTTTAATTTTGCAAACAGAATCATTTCTGTACAATGAAAATGCAGATAAAGAGATTTGTCTGAAAGTAAAAAAAATCCATATAAATCAGTGCAATATATTAGCATAGATGAAATTATAAATAGGAGCCAGGATTGATTTTATGTCAAATAATATTAGTATTCGATAGATTGTATAATAAATACATTGATAAAATATTCTTCTAATCGGTGAAAATATTCTTTGAATTGATCTTATATAAAAAGAAAATGGTACTAATTTATTTTCAGGACATCTTTTTATATAAAGCTTATCAATTTTTATAAGTTGAGGCTGTATTTACTCTATCGAATCAGAATATGTCTATTTTGGGACAAGAATAGTTTAAATATAGAGGTCAATTATTGTAGAAAGTTATGAAGTAATTTTATAAAGAGTCTTTTGCAAGAATATTGCAGAACAACTAGTATTGTGAAAAGTAAAGAAAAATTAATTAAAAAGTATCTCTCTTGAGATAAGACAAAAGAGTAATAATGAAGACTATTTTGCAAATTAGTCTTTAAGGCAATGTAACAGATAAAATAGCTCTTTTAGAGCCAACTAATATTGTAAAAATTTACTATCAATTAAAATTTACTTTCAGCAAAATCCTCAAGATGTTTGAGACGCAAAGAAGTAAAAATGTAGGCTCATGAGCCTTCAAGAGAGTTAAAGGCAATTGTGGAAGATAAAGGAGTATTAATTCAAATTTACCAGCCTTGAGATATTTGTTACATCGAGTTAGCCCTTACAAATTAGTCTTAAAAAAAAAATAGACCAGCTAAAATAGCCTTTGCACAGAATTGTTGTGTGTTAATTAAGGATTACTTCGAGGAACAGTCTTGAAATTTTTAATACAAAAAGAAGTACCAATGAGGGCTACAATTTGCATATTAAAATCATATTAGCAAATGCTAAGAAGGCATATTAGAACTAGTGTAAGTATCATTTTGCCTTAAGGCAAGTTGCATCAACTATCTGATATGTGTAAATAATCGACTTAATAAGAAAGCAGTAAGTTAATTTATGTGTATTCCGAGTTACTGTAAAGTGTTATAATGTTAGCAACTATTGTAGATTATTCAATTTTGTACAAATTTGCCAAATATACTAATGTACTAATAGAAATTATTTACGAAAAATAAAGAACATACATGGTGTATGCTTAAAAGCACTTAATTCTAAGGAATTTTTATAATTAAACCACTTTTCACAGGCCTATAATATTTTATGGTTGTAACCGAGACAAACTTTGCAAAGTTTTATTAAAATTATCAAATTAATCACGTTTATGAAGAAACGGCCCGCCATATCTTCGTTAAAAACTAATTTTTTTTAATTATTTTAAGATATCTTTCCAACAATGTTTGAATCATTAAAATCGGTACAGCGGTTTTTAAAAAAAATCTACAATAGGAAAAATATTAACTCACACACATATTCAGATTGACTAAAAATATAAAATGAACATATCGGATTTTTTGGCAAAAACTACGACGTTGCAAGTCATTCTGAATCGTTTTACACTAAAATTGGAAAAAGTATGATTAATAAATCATTTTCAACATGCAATTAGGAAGAAACCACCCGACCGATCTTTGCCAAAAACTAATCAGTGTAATTTCCAAAAGATATCTTTCCAACAATTTTTAAATCATTAAAATCGGTACAGCGGTATTTTAAAAAAAATCTACAATAGGAAAAATATTAACTCACACACATATTCAAATTGACTAAAAATATAAAATGAACAAATCGAATTTTTTGGCAAGAACTACGACGTTTCAAGTCATTCTGAATCGTTTGACACTAAACTTGGAAAAAGTATGATTAATACATCATTTTTCAGCACGAAGAAACCATCCGACCAATCTTTGCCAAAAACTAATCAGTATAATTTCCAAACGATATTTTTGAAACTGTTTTTGAATCATTAAAATCGGTACAGCGGTTTTTAAAAAAAAATCTACAATAGGAAAAATATTAACTCACACACATATTCACATTGACTACAAATAAAAAATGAACAAATCGGATGTTTTGGCAAAAACTACGACGTTTCATGTCATTCTGAATCGTTTGACACTAAACTTGGAAAAAGTATGATTAATAAATCATTTTCAACATGTAATTACGAAGAAACCACCCGACCAATGTTTGCCAAAAACTAATCAGTATAATTTCCGATACCTTTAAAACTTTTTTTGAATTAATAAATAAAATCGGTGCAGCCGTTTTTGAGAAATCGATCACAAAAAGTCAAATTTTAACTCACACATTTTTTCAGTTTCGGTGTCAAACGATTCAGAATGACTTGAAATATAAAATTACCAAAGCGGATTTTTGGCAAAATTACGACGTTTCAAGTCATTCTGAATCGTTTGACACCGAAATAGAAAAAAATATGTATGAGTTAAAATTTGACTTTTTGTGATCGACATCTCAAAAACGGCTGCACCGATTTTAGTGATTCAAAAACAGTTTCAAAGATATCATTTAGAAATTATACTGATTAGTTTTTGGCAAAGATCGGTCGGGTGGTTTCTTCGCAATTGCATGTTGAAAATGATTTATTAATCATACTTTTTCCAATTTTAGTGACAAACTTTTTTTATTTTATTTTTTATTTAACTTAACTCAATTGAAACGATTTCTCAGAGCAATCCGATGTAACTCAACAAGAACTCGGGTTTGATTTTTTTTAAAAAATTATAGGCCTGCAAAAAGTGGGCTAATTATAAAAATGCATAAAAGACATACACATTCTATATTCTAAACCTACGTTTGTGCACTATAATTAATACAATTAAATATATTTTAAATCTGTTTGAAAGATTCCAATCGCATGAATTAGTTTTTGATAAAAACCAAATACTATAGTTTTGTCATTAGACATTTTTTCCAAATATTTAAATTTAATTCTCATTTGTCAAGTCAATTATTTACTTTTATCAGAAAGTTTATGCAGTTTGCCATAAGGCAAAATACCACTTACACCCAAATAGGTTTGCATCTGAGATATTCATGTTACATTAAAATTTGCACCTAATAATATTTAGCTCTATCAACTGGTTTAAAATAATTTCATCTCTCGGTACCTGAAATAAAACATGTTCATAATCAATTTTCTTACCCTTTGTATACGAAATGCAGAAAAAATGTGAAGGATTTTAAACTACACGTAAACATCTTATCTACTGTTTGAACAGTAAAAAAGCCAAAATATTTCAAGCATTTTACTACTTCTGGAAAATACAGATATATTCATATAACATTTTTGTTTTGTTTTGTAATTAAAACACATCCAGACGACGCCCCTTTAGTCACACAATCCCAGTGCTAAAAAACAATCAAAATAATTAAAAATATAATTAATATAATAACAATTATCTTTTACAAGTCTATTATCAAAGGATACAATGCTTTGTCCTTGTTCGCCAAGTCTTTGTATATTTCTTCATAAGAGGTACCAAATTCATAACAATTTGGCCTGTCGATTGCAGTACCGGGCAGTTTGACTTTGTCACCGGTTCCAAATGATTCCACACGGAAGCCCTTTTTGGATAAGAAGGCATGGGCTTCCATCGATCGGTTCATGTTTGATGAGCAGATTACTGCGATTGTCAAATCGCTTATGTAGGTCATTTTTTTAATCTATAATGAGAGAGAAGAATGTTAATAAAGTGGAATCAATTATAGATGAATATTTTATTTAGGTAACAAATTTTGTATGGGTACCATTATGTAAATATTAAATTAAATATTTGATAGATTTTGTTTGGATTTTAGTAAATTGACGATTTTGTTTAAAAAAAAAATACATATTTGAAATAAATTGTAAAATTTTTTACACAAAAAATGATTTGATGTGATATTGTGTATATATATATAATATATATATATATATTACACACACACAACACACACACAAATTCATACTTATTTAATTATTTTCACTTTTTACACTCTAAGTTTATCCCCATAAGTCCTTTTTTGAAATTTATTTTTTTAACTGAATTTTTCGTTTTATTGTTGTGTATGTTGAGCATTATTCTTAACTAATACTATTAATTAATCTGTAATTCTTATCTAATTATAAACGTTAATTTTGTTTTTCAATTCATGAATTTATTTAAACCATGTACTAAAAAAACCTTATCATGAAAGAAGTGGAACTTGATAATGATATGATAATGAGTAAAAAAAATCGATTTTTAGGGAACTCATATTGTGTTCTTAGGGTGCAACCTTATTAACAATGTTTGCAATTCAAAATTGATCGTAACCCTTACATTGAAATGAACTTTGATAACTAAAAGTAAGATACAAGATGTTTGAGTTCTATTTTATGTAAGATTCACAACATTTTCAGACTTTCCACAACATATTCAAGCAATATACAACATTTTTAACAATTCTCAACCATTTTTTATTCGCTCTTCCTTAACGCATTAGAAGTTTTACTTCACAAAAAAGCCCTTAACAAATTTAGCAACAGATTTATATATGATTTTATGAATTTTTATTAAAGTAACTCTCGATAGCAAGAATTCGGCATGAAACAAATTGATATATGTACACACACACACACACATACACATTATATAAAAATTTATTATATTCCTGAACGTTTTTTTTTATTAGAAGCATATTAGAAATATTTAAGCAGCCAATATGCCAATATATATATCTTACAAATATATATATATATATATATATATATATATATATATTTGTAACAGTGCTCACGATTCACCTAAAAAAATATTAATATAAAAAAATGATTTTCCCTACATTACGAATTTGATTCTTTTCCACATCTAATTCTCTATTCTACTATTTATAATCAAGATCTTTCATTTCATATTATTTAATTTCAAGAATAAACATAAAAACATCACTCAATTCATACAAAATTTATCATACAAGATTTACACGCCAACATTTACTAAACGCAAGGAATCAGTCTTGTAGAATTTTTAATCGTTCAATATACACACAAACATACACACTAAAAAATCGTATCAATTAAATTTTTTTTTGACAAATGTAAGTAGTATTAGCAAGTGTTTATTTCAATTTTCCTAATTATAATCTTTTAAAAGTAAAAATTGAATTATTTGAAGGACAAAAATGTAAATGTAATGTAAAGACTAATATTTTTGTTCCTGAAGAAGAGAACATCCGATATAATAAAGATGAAGAATTTAGGAAAAAATCATAGGCTTTTAAGATTAAATATACATACATAAATATATATATATATATATATATATATATATATATATATATATGAGTGTGTATGTGTTGTGTTGCGCTTTCCAACAAATTCAAAATTTTTGTTTAAATATAATTCATCATCAATATTTTATTTCAGAATATCTATTGACACGTTTTCTACCAAATCCATTCATGTATTTTATAAAATGCATTTCTTGTTAATTTTTCAACCAATACCATATTCTTAACAAAATATCCTAAAGACAAAATATCAACAATAAATTGTAGCTTTTACATTTTTTTTTATTGTTATTTGGATTTCTTGTACGAAGCACAACGCAATACATACAAATTCAAGCCTCATTCATAATTCCAATATTTATATATATATATATATATATATATATATATATATATACAAAATATCAGGTTGATTGCCTAAAGGATCAGATCTGTTAAACAACTCATAAATTTTAAGCTCCTCAAAAGATAATATTAAACATCTGTGCTTTAACAGAAGTTATAAATAGTTTAAAAGCCTACATCCAATCGTCCTTGTAGTTATCTAAAACCAATTTAACAAAAATCCTTTACAAAAACCTGCAAAGCAAACAAATGATTAGTAACAATATCAAAAATTCTAGGAATATGACTAATAAGGAATTCTGGGAACACAGATGGAATGCGGAACAGAAATTCTTTCTTGTGATAAATATAACAATAAAATATTACATGTAACTATTTTTTTCAACAATCCAAATCTTCCTTGTGAACACGCTGATAGTTTTAGACTCTTTTTCTTCCTTGATAATCCGTAAAAAGTAAATTTAATTTTACGTAAACGAGGCCGTACT